CAGCCGTCGTTGTTGACAGTCGTTGTCAACAGCGCCGTTGCTTTTTTGGCTTCACCATTCGCTTCACCGAGTCTCCATAGTTTCTGTCTACACGGCCAGCCCGACGATATATGTCTGAGGCTGGAAGGAAGTCGTCATCGACTCGGTAGTGGCACAAGGCGGACGGGGGCGGAAGAATTGTCGTGGTACAAGTATACCTACCGGCGGCATCGCACAGGGCTAGGGCATGCGTTGCGGGTTCCGCTTGCAGTACCCACTTCCTTGGAGTTGATAACCAAGATTCAGAGAACGCATTATCGGCTTTTCAAGCCCCGACCTGCACTTGACGGGAGCAGCTGTGTGAAGCCCTGATACTAAGAGCCCACTCTCGTGGTGGATTTCGCCCTATTCCCGCATCACGATTGACCATGGCGAATTTCAGGGTGAACCATTATGTTTTCGATCCTTTGCCACCTGTTAACTAAACGCCGATGACTTAAGGTCTGCAGTGGTTATTCGGTGCTCTGTGACATTGAAGGAGGCAGGACAGTAAAAGGCTTAGCTGGCGCTAGGCTGTATTCTGCGCTGCAGCCTATTGGTCGGCTGGGTTAAATATCGAAGTCTAGCGGTTTGCTGAGAAACATTGATCCGAACTTGCGCCGTGCACGCATGCGCACACAAGACCGCAAGCAGAAAGCAACACAATCCTACTCAGTCGCTTTCGCGGCGTGATACCTTTTCGGGTTACCCTTTTTTACCGGAGATAAGTGTACAGCGCCGCTATATGCATAGATGCATCTTCTCCTTAGTTCACTGGAAATTACTCGGGTTCTACCAAAGGTAGGTATATGTTCAACTAGAATATATTAGTAGTCTTTGCCACTCGCCAAGACGCCATGCGCATTTCATCGGCCCAATAACACGGACTCGGTCAAATGAGGCGCTTAGGGCACACAATCGCGAAACTACAGCCCGTGACAGGGCTGCCAAAAATCTTCACTACAGATATAATGTCAATAGGTGGCTGGTAGCTGGTAGAGTCCGCAGCTGATGATGTCTTAGAAACTGAGCCAAGATGCTTGTCCTGAACTTGGTGCGCCTGGATTCGATGGTCGATGGTATGGAATTCGCAAACTTTACTTGCCTAGGGGGGGCCTTTGATGGGACAAAGAAAAAATTGCCTCGTACTCTACATAAGTTCGGTTTGCTTCAAAAGGAAGGAAGGCCGGTGTATCAAACGCTCGCTAGAAGATTCCGCAAGACCTCATTTCGACTGGCATAGGCCTCGGCTCTCACATCATCCAGTACTTCTCACCCTCTGACCACTGGGCCTCCCACACCCAGAGTTTCTGTGGTTCTACGGAAGGTTCACTTTGGCAGGATGGTGGGTGAAGCAGGGTCAACGGCAGGTGCTGGTGACAAAATAGATTGCACCGATTTTCGCGCCCGTGGACCAATAGAAGTCTACAGCTCACCCCAAGAGTGGGACAAAACCCCCGCGTGTCAAGGTAGCTGCTGCCTTGATGGCAAACGTTATTCGACTGGAGAAGCCTGATTGGGAGAGGGCATGATTTTTGCCGCGGCTTGCTCGCAGAAATGTGAGAGTGTGAGAGGGGGATGGGATAGATGAGACAGCACATCTCTTCTTCTACCTCTGCTGGTAGGTGGGATGTTAAAAGGATTGCGATACCGGCAGATATATCAGTCCAAAGCAAAAGGGCTATCCCTCCCTCCTCGGGGTCTCCCTGATCCGCGCACCTGTAACTCGCACCCAGTCCGTATCTCGTTGGCACCTGTGCCGAAGGTACACCGCACCCCGGCCTAGGCCTACACCAGTTCAACACGAATAACTGGGCGCGTATGGAGCGAGTTGGCACTCGATGGGAGAGAAAATGCAGTGACTCGTAGCAGCCGTCACGGCCGGACTATCGGGCCCCTGAGGTCGAATCCTTCTTGCAGGCTTCTTTTCTTTTCTTTACTTTCCTGCCAGTTGTCTCTATCACCACGTACGTATACGTATTGCTTCGGATGCTGCCCCCAGAAAACTGCTCATCCGGAAATCGACTTTGCAAACAGTCCTTTTACTAACTTTAGCACCTAACTTGACAGCCGGTAGATGCGTGCGTGGTCTTCACGCTACCTATAGTCCCTTTCCCAGGTTATCCAGACACCATACACCTCTGAGCCAAGACCATACGATAGCCGTGGATCATCACCGAGCCTGCTTTTATGCGTTGAGGGCCAGTTCATTGTCGATCACTCGGCAGTTGGTGAGTGCTCCCTCTTCGGTCGTCCCTCCCATTCTCCGCGCTTTTAGGCAGTATCTGCTATTCCTTTGCTTGGGCTCAGGCTTTGGAGTCAATCCCCAGAGTAACTGCGCCTTGGTTCGGCTCTGCGCAGCAATTGGGGGGAGGGAGACAAAAGACTACGTCACATGATATTTCGCTGCGCACACCCCCCTCCAACTTTGCGCACTACCATCGTCTGAAATTTTAACAAAGTAAAGGGATAAGATTTGCCGGATCGACACCCGCTTGCGCACTCCGATGCCTCTCTCCGCACGTCTGTTTCGCCTGTGTACACATCACCTCTCTCGCCGCCGTCAAACCCGACGTCGAATCACTTGGCGACCCTGCCTCCAAAGGCGGCCCATATTTCCGTCCGACGGACCGGCACAGCACTCGGCAACGGCGATATGTTTAGCCACCCTGAACTCAAACAAGTGGTCAGATTCTATGTGCGCGGGCGAGCGCACGTGTCTTAGAGAGCCGAACGACGGCAATCCGAGGTGGCAACCGAGCTCGGTGTTAAAGCGGCATGCGCGGGTTACAAAGTTCTTGTTGGGCTTTTCTCCGAGGGTGTTGTTGATTCACCTGTATTGCGCATCACAAACCGACAACGCGATGTGGGAAGGAGCGAAACAAAAACATAGCAGGAGGGATCCGTATGTGATCACGCACCCCATCGTACTCAGCGCTTCCGTGCTCGGTTTGATATCATCAAGGGACTCTAGGCCCACTTCACTTCGACGAAGAGCGTGTTGGCAAGATAGACCTGGATATCCTACGATATTGTCACTGAATTCCGGCGGGGCCTCGATTTCGTCGGAAACCAATTTACGAGAAACCTGTCTAGGATGAGCGGCATGCTGTCAGCAATGCAAATCGTTCAAGCGGAGGTTCAAACGGCGTTGCCTCCACAATTTGAGCCAGGTCAAACATGTGTCGAGGCTTGATGCTAGAGACGCGAGGGCAGATAGAAGTGATCGGTGACCACTTTCCTTGTTGGTGCAATATTATGACTCAGAAGGAATGTCAGAGACCTAAGTTCGTAGTGCTAGGGGTGGTGCCGGAGAAGGAGAATGGTTTTGCTGTGTCTTCTCTGCCCTTCTTCGACGATAGCTGCGGGGTACAATGTTTCAATAGAGGGATTTGCGAGTGGACTATGTGCTAATTGCTCGAAAAATGCACTTTCTTGACTGGAAATCTGAGCATTGCCGTTAGTTTTTTGTCTGTGGCAATTCCACTGGGGAATGGAATGCCAGAATTCCATCAGTGATCGAGTTATTTTCTATGACGCACGCCAGCTAGGAACTGGCGGTTATATATCGGATGAATCGTTCCATCCCAAGCCTCCAGTCACCAAGATTACCCCAACGTCGACGATCGCTTACCCTTCCAAATTAGCCTTAGAGTTCCAAAGTACCTTTTTCCGAACAGTCTAGCAGACGGCTGGGTAATATGATGATGAACAGGCAAACTTTAGGGGTTTATAAGCATCAGCTTTTTCACGATAGAGTCTAAATTCCGGTATCATAGATTCTCCTGACACGGCAATGCACGTGGCTGTGCTCCATCGTGCCAATTTTGAAATTGCGGATTTCCCATTAAATGCACAGAGCTTCCTTGGTGGAAACACATTTTGGTTGTTGTGAGAGCGAATAGAAAGAGATATAGGTGATGATACGGGTTCATAGGGGGTTTATACAGACTTGGAGGCGATGAAACACGGAGGATAAAGTATTTCCAGATAAAGTACCATTCAAGGGCGGCTAGCTTAGAAAAGGTGCTTCGTTGGATCCGTGTTTTTCCATTCACCTACATTCTAGTAGATATTCCATTGCACTGGTACATCCTAGTAGATATTCAATTGCACTGGCGATTTAGGTATCTAATTTAACAGCCTGACAGATAGCATAAAAGCACAACTTAGCGACAACTCATACTTATTCAGATCATAGCACAAAAGCACAAATCAGCGACAACTCAATACTTATTCCGAGAAAATGCCTTTTATCCTAGGAAAAAAGCACGCCTGGCAGGGCCCCACTTCAACAAGATGGACCTGTGAAGATTGCGGCTGGCACATCAACGAGAACAAGAACGACGATCCAGCGGAGAAGTGGGTCTGTGCGGTCTGTGGCGCTCACTTTTAGTGAGTTGCGGGACGGATTTTTTGTGGGCTTGGACTGAGTAGTCCTTTTATTTTCGATAATTTCCTTTTTATAACACCTGTATAAGAATTTTATGTTGCCTTTTCTTGAGTTAGATGGTTTACCTATGCTTTTATTGTTCAAACTACAATTCCGGATTGTCAAATTCTGGAACTCCCTACAACAAGATCTCTGAATAGTGCCTCCGCTCCTTTGCCAGCGCCATCTCCAGAAGAAGAGCGGATGGATGAGGCGTGAAACCACCAGCACAGAAAGCGCGAGCAGCTCACTGGCCACCCTGTCCTACACGTAGTAGCCTCCCGTAAATTTTGGTGGCGTAGCTGCTGCCGCAATGCCAGGCGGCAGCCCTTTTCACGCTGTGCTTCTTACATGAGCCGGCGATGGAGAAATTGCTGAGCTGCTTGGAGCAAACCTGCATTGTGCCGTATTATAAATCTTCACACATATATACAACGATACATATGATATCCAATGCATGTGGGAGGGCTTGAAACGAACGCCGGCAAAAAAAAAAAACACGACGTTTCTACGAGTGGTCATGGATGAAACAGGCTGGAACCAAAAACAATGGAGAACTAGGGAATCGAACCCTAGACCTTCTCAAATCGCGCTGTTAGAGCAATGCAAATGAGACGTTATACCACTAAACCAGATCCCCAACTGATGGAAGAATACATTGTCTTTTCCATCACATAGGAGGACTCAGAGTTATAATGGTGCCACGCTGCACCATTCGCGTAGAGCACAGAGTAAACATTAGGCCATCCATTGTAAAAATAACCGCATTTAATACCGTATTTTTTCGCGAACAAGGAAAATGACGGTGCGAAAGTCAATCTTTTTCTAGTAGCAAAAGTAGTTGTGACCGTAAGCCGGGCGTAAAAAATGTCGCGATGCCACTCGCCTGCAACCCATTAAAAATCCACGGTTTCCAAGTAGTTTATTACTAGCCTGTCGCGCCGTTACCGTAAAAACTCGAGAGCAAGAGAATGGGCTAAGTGACTTAGCCAGTGACGTAGCCCATTCTCTTGCTCTCGAGTTTTTATGGTATTTCCCTTGTTAGCGAGAAAATACCGTAGGCCCGCCGAAATAAAAGATCCAGAAAAGAAGTTTTGTAGTTTCCGTGGGATCTGGCAGGATTTCTGTTTCTGAGGCGGGTGCTTGCGAACTCGTTGCGACAGGTCCAAATCTGGCTTAGCAGGCAAAGAGCTGGCGCCTGAAAAAAACTGGCGCCATTGGTCACTGTGGTCAACGCAGGCCGCGAGTGATGGATGGGGTCACGGAAATATATTGTATCATGGTAGTAGGGCCGGAAATCGCATACATAACCTCATCATCACCCCCCGGGAGATCGCGAAACCTCATCTTCGACCATACCAGAAGTTATGCCTGCACATCCTCACTGCCAGCGCCCTCACCTCAGGCTCCCGGTCGCTTTTGCGGTCGCTCATTGCCATGGTGAGGTCATAAAGCAACTCCCACCAGAACTCTACGCTCGGTTGCAGCCACTCTCATGATCAAGTCGGCTTTCGCTAATGCTGCGAGCCGCTTTTTTTCTTGTTCTCCACAAATCACCTCTTCGCATCCACCCAGTGCTGGTAAGCACCAGCCTCAAAAACCCAAATCCCGCCGGATCCCTCTGATACCCCGAGCGTACGCTGTTCAGTATGCATTTGGCGGCAACCCTAACAGTACTCTAATCATTCAAAGATATCACCGTTGGATTTACATACTAACACAGCACAGTTCTTAATAGCATACGGATACGTAAGCCTAAAGCGTGTAGGCGGGAATGGCCCGGCCCGTCGGCCGAGAGGATCATTTCGAGCCGTGCCGGCTTGAAGAAAGTAGTTGGGCCGTCAGTATTCGACTGACAGCGGGGGCTCGAGAGTCGAGACTCACAGGTTCAAGCTGCCGTGTGAGTCAAGCAAAGCATTGACTAGGCTTTGCTCAAAAACTTACACCAGCATGTGCAGTTTCATCGCAGGGAACAAGCTGGCAGGTACTGTCCACCAGAAGGCACGTTACTCCGCGACCTTGGCCAATCCATGTCGCAACAGGGCCAGACCACAGGGGAAAGGCTGAAACCTGGCCGGGAGCGAAACAAAATAGCACAACCAACGCTGGAAGGGCAAAAGAGAGAGCCGAGAAGCCTCACGCGGGGGTCGAACCCGCAGCCTTCGGATGACCTGGAGTCATTTGTAAAAGTCCGACGCTCTATCCATTGAGCTAGTGAGGCCCTCATGGATGAAGGTTTGGTAAATAGCATATTTCTGTACGTCCACGGCTCTCCTCTTCTCTGCCCACCGCCCTCCAGCTCCACGTCAAATCCTACACCCGGCGCTGCGCGCCGGACGTTGTCGGCTCGTCGACTACATACTTGGTATCCCCATCAACACTTTGCCTCTTGTCCAAAATGTTTGCCTTGCTCCGGCCTACTCGTACCTACCATTAGCAGTGCAGTCTATGCAGTGAATGGCTTCTGGCCACCGAACCAACCAGTCTGGGGGATATACACGGAAAGTAAATATATATTCCACCATTCGGTGAGCAAATCGATAGCCGGGTCACAACAGTGAAGTTCCACTCACTGTTTCTATTTCAGTACTGGTTATGAGTACAACTCCACAGTCACCTCGTACGATGCTTCACGTTTACGTGCTACATCGATGTGGAGTCATCGGGTCGCAAAAACGTTCGTGGCTCTCACTCGGCCGCCGCTCCACCACGAGCACGGTCTACCCCAGGATTGTGGTTGCATAAGACGGTGTCTATCTCGCCAGACTGGCCTGCGGGTACGGTCCTCGGGTTGGGGTGAAGAAACCATCCTCTCTGACCTCTCATCAGATAGAAGGACATTGCCACCATGATGGTTTCACAACTTGAAAACCGTGATGTTCACTTGGAGCATTCGGTGTCCGCCCTGGATGGCTGCCGTAGCCATAGTGCAATAGAACCAATTGGATGGAAGTGCTCCATGAATCTTGTAGGTACTGGTGCACAGACGAGGAGATACTCGGTAGTATACATCTTTGTTCAAATTTCGCTGTGTGATGCAGAAGGTGTACGGTGCCTGCAAGCGGCAAACCGTTGAACCATTTCTCCGCCCATCCAGGCACTACATGCTTGTGCTCAGAACTCAACGACAGACCAAACCAGAGCAGCAGAAGCAGTCAGGGGACGGAGCTTATCGTAATACTCCAGGGGAGTGGTCGGTTCAACACCACATCAGTCAGTTGGCTGGTGACCGAAGCTAGGCCGGCCTGCGTATCTAATCGAGTGATCGCCGGTGAGCTCGTTGAACATGTGAGTCACCTTTCCGTCCTACCAACATTGCAAATTTTGTCAACGTTCCACTACGGACAGCACCGATATCAGCACCCCGCCCCGTCTCCAATAATCACAACAGCTTTCCTAAACCGTCAGGGAAGCGGCGTGTTGAAGAGTCAGGGCTAGCGGGAAGCGGCCGGCTCCCGAACTCCACCGATGTACCCCCCAGCGAGTCACCGTTTCGGGATCGAGGGGGCACGCATAAGTGACGCGGATTCCCGCGCGAGAGCCTTCGCTTCTTACTGAATCAGCGGAGTCCTATCCTTGACTGTATCTTTGTCGTCCTTCCTTCCTTCCTTCCTTTTGACTGGACCAAGCAAGGAGCCGTGGGAGACCAGACAGAGTTTTTTACATCAGGCCGTTGGGATTGAATGTTTCACGAGGTCCCGGATGGATGGATTTGGTCGCCACAAACAGTTTGCAAGACGACCACGCTGTGTGGAACCCTGGTTTGTCCTTGCGCCTTGCAGCCTCTTCTAATTCCCTTCTTTGCTGTGCCCCTACTGGATCTCTCAATTTTGCCTCTATCTGCTATCATACTCTCACCTCGTTCCCAGTCGGTAATTCTCGCTACTCCTTTCTCAGCGTCACAAGAATGGGTTACGGAACAATCCAAGAAATTTTAGATACCCTCGGGATTGTCGATGTCGACGTTCAGGAGACCATCGTGGCGGAGGCCAAGTCGTGCGTGTTCGACGACGTGCTGTTCTTTCAAAACAGCAAGAACCGCCCGCAAGCCAGCGTGATGGAAAAAAGTTCGCTCTGTGGGGACAAAAGCCCTTGGGCAAAGCCGTCTATGAGCTTGCCAAGCTGCAGGGTTCGCCCTACACATACAATCTCTCCCTATCCGCCTGGCTGGCACGAGATGCGTGACCGATAGAATGCTGGACTCCTCGAAGACCCGGCCGAACGCAGAACTTTGAAAGTCTGAGTTGTACGGTGCCGCACATCGCATCCTCAAAAAGGTGTGCAATGACGATGGAACATCTCTGCTCGCAGCATTGGCCAATGCCACCGAGCTGAAAGAGATGCATTAGCAGCTGCAGGCCGTCCAGCTTGTCGCCACGAGGAAAGACATCTAGAATGCCCGCACACTGGAGTCCCAAAAGAAGGCCTGCCACTCCGTCGAGAACGGAGTGGAACGCAAGAGACTGTTGAACGCACTTTCGGGGCTTCGCACCGAATCAGAACTCAATAAGATGCAAAAGAAGATACTGTACCGCCAGTACGATGGTCAGAGATGGATACGAATACACCCAAGCGATTGAGGATCGAGCGTGAGTCTCGCCTCATCCTTGTTTTCTACTGCGCTTACGCGGGTAGGAATAGCGCCGGTGTTGTTGCACGCGGAGGCAAGTCGCGCTTCATAAGCAGTTACTCGGTCTCTCGGCGTAACTCGTGTACCTCAGCTCCATCTCATTGGTAACGTTAGTAATGCTGGTGGTATATAATACTTACCGACCCTGTTTTGAGCCGGCTGCGATATCTGGTACCGGTGTAGGGCTAGCTGTGGCAAGGAAAACTAGGAGACGGTATCCTGGATATTCTGTGTTTGAAATGCAAGAAAAAGGCACAGTGTAGAAACAGGCGTGGTCTCCAAACATTCCAACCGAAGGAAATTATGTACTTTTGCAGGCTCGACTGCTCCACCGTGATGTGACCTCTCACCCTGGAAAATAATTACCTGCATAGATCACGTCAGTGCTAGGAGCCGAAAAAATGCAAATCGGAATATGTCTGACCTGCACCGAGTATGGTTAACTCCAGCCCCAGGTTCTGGAAGGAAAGTCCGAAAACTCCAGGCCTCCACAGTCCCTTACAAGCTCCTTGATTCTGGCCTTGAGCTGGGGGGCCCAACTACAGTCCGCATGGACGTTGTCTGGCGGACTGATCTTGACCGCAGTACACTTGTGCGAGGTACTATCGAGCGAGGTACCACAGAAGGGACAATAGCGAGCGGAATAATTAGAGCAACAATTGTTGGTTGACTTTTTGGCGCAAAACGAGCAGAAAGCTTTAGTGAGCGAATTTGAAGCCGATGGCGACACGGATTGGTAGTTCAGGGCCTCCAAATTCTGCACAGCTTCGTAGATGGCAGTGAGACTGCCACTCCAAAGCGTCTCGCTATTTGTAAGACGGCTTTTGGAAAGCAGTCCCAGCTGCAGGACACCGCACTGCTTCAGTCTCGCGGGGCATACGTATCCGTGAAGATACTTGGCTTCCAAGCCACGGATTTCGTCGCGGATTGCGTTCATGAGCTCTTATCGGGAGTTTCCTAGGCCCTCTACAAGTGCACTTAGTGTTAGCAACCGGTGAAGTGGATGCAAGGAACGGGGCCAACCTGTGATTGCAGCGGGCAGAGCTTCATGTAGTCCCCGTTTATCCGGTCCAAGCACGATGCCCGTCTCGCTGTCCACGGAAGACCCAATTATGAGTCCCCCTGGAAACCTGCGTGAAGAGCTCTTCCGGCCCGAAAACCCAAGTGATGAAAATCCAGTCTTCCGGGCTCCCGTAGATCACGGACCTCGAGTTGTCTATCCAGATCTGAGCAATAGGCTGCAATGCCTCTTGGAGCAGGTATTTATCGCATATGACCGCCACTTGGACCACCGTCTCGACCGAAAGCCGTCGAGGCAGGAGCTTGGCCCGAGCGTGTAGCGCCCGGAGAATTATCGGCAACACTGCGGGGTCGTCGCCTTCGAGCGGCACGACCACAGGTCCGTCGCCTGAAGCGCGAAGACCTCAGAGGCAGAGCAGAGAACTTCAGAGTAGACGCGGAATCTGTCGGACGGAGAAAGCTCAAGTATTACGTCGCCATCCGCAACGATGTCGGTGCACATCTCCAGATGGAGAGTGCTGTTGGAAGTCATGTTGTTGGAAGCCGGGGCCCTGTTGTCTGACGAAGAGGCTGGCGCAGATGGGGAGTTGTTTTTTTCGGTGAAAATGCTGCCGGACGAAAGTGGGTTAGTGCTGAGGACTGTCATTATGTTGATGCGAGAGGTTGGCACGTTCTGAGAGAAGATTTCATAGTTCTATGGCCGTGAAGGATCAGTACTGGCAAACAACCGTAACCTGCCGGCAAGAAAAAAAACGGCAGGCCTTTGTGGCCCACGACTATAAAAAATCAAGAAACAATCAACACCTTCAAGCAATGCATTTGGGTGATCATCGTTTTCGTAAACCATCATATGTTTGCAAGAAGTTTCTAGCTATGATAGGTATACCGTATTCTTCCGGTACGATGAGAATTGCCGGCGCCGAAGTCAATCTTTTCTAAGCAGCAAATGTACTATGTATGGAAACATGACACCGCCGGCGAATCTTATGTGACGGCGACAACACTATCTAAGGAGGCGACAATGGCTGGGCGCGGTATGGTTGAGGACACCTATGTACTCAACTCTAATTCTCACGGCCGCCTTGTGTCTCCGTCGTACCGCGACGTCTCCGGTGCCCGCCCCTCTTGGCCATCAATCAAGATTTGCCGGCGGTGTCATGTTTCCATACATAGTACATTTGCTACTTAGAAAATATTGACTTCGGCGCCGGCAATTCTCATCGTGTCGGAAGAATACGGTATCACACAATCATTCCCGTGTTTTTAAGCTTCCATTTTGGGCTACGCCAAATGGACTCAAAGGTTTGAAGCTTGAGCCAAACTTGCGATTTATGTTTGGCTCAAAATCATGACGTTCCTTATCATACGAAGTACCTAGGTATATATATAATGGCCATAACGGTGCACGCCGTCATGATTAATAAAGAAAACTAAACCAAACACAAAAAACAGCCAAACACCTTACCATGCAAGCCACCCCCAACCCAACCCATCAATTGTTATCACGCCCGTTCAACACCCTCCAACACCATAACATCACCATCCTCCGCCTGTGCCTGCTGCTTCTTTTT